GTGTTAGCCAGGATGGTCTCGATCTCCTGACCTTGTGATCCGCCCGTCTCGGCCTCCCAAAGTGCTGGGATTACAGGCTTGAGCCACCGCGCCCGGCCCTACAAATAGATTTTTCAAATAAGAGTTGTTAATATTTATTTTAGACATTTGATTTAGTTGAAAGCTGCTACTTTGTTACTTAAAGACTGAGCCTATAAGAAAATAACAGAGGTTTAATCCAAGTAATATGAAAGTGAACTCTTTACCTTACCTGTTTTTCCCCAAATAATTCTGACTTCACTACCGGAAATTTTTGTGAATGGTTCTAAAAAACACCTATTTTGAAACTGCAGAAATAGCAGGACAAATCACTTTGTAGAATGATTTGTGAAATATTGTCCTACTACACTTAAATAAAAACAACACATTTCCTCACTTATGAGTATTTTCTTATTTTTGATACTGCAAATTCTACACATAGAACACCTCTTCATTGCCCTGCTGAAGGCCTCAGAATGTAGAGATGGTTCAAAAGTAATTTATACCATTTTTACCCAGGCTTTGTAAACATATGTCAAAGAGATAGGAAGGTACTCAGTTTTAGTAAACAAAATAATTGCTCCTATGGTAGCTCCTCAAAGTCCCAGGCCAAGTAGGCATTATCAGAAGTTTTCTATTAGATAATTCTACCATCTCCAAATAAGGACTTTGGTCTGTTTATAAAAACTAATTGATAGATGAAAGGAAGGAAGGAAGGCACGTAGGTAGGTAGACAGACAGACAGACACAGGCTTTTGCTTTGTCACTTATGCTGAAGTGCAGTGGCACAACCATAGCTCACTGTAACCTTGAACCCCTGGGCTCAAGTGATCCTGTCTCAGCCTCCCAAGTATCTCGGACTAAAGGTGTATGCCACCACACTTGACTACTTTTTAAATTTTTTGTAGAGATGAGGTCTTGCTATGTTGCCCAGGCTGGTATCAAACTCCTAGTCTCAAGTGATCCTCCCACCTCGGCCTCCCTGTAAATTGGGATTACGGATGTGAGCCACCGTGTCTGGCCTTGGTTTATTCTTAGGAGTTTTTTTTCTCCCTTGTCCTGTTGCATAATCTAGAAGACTCTCCAGTATAATGTTAAACAGAAACAGTGATAGTGGGTATCCTTGTCTTGTTTCTGACTTTAATGAAAATGCTTCTAAGTTTTCTTCATAATGTATGTTTGCTTTGGATTTTGATAGATACCTTTTTGAGATAAAAAGCAGTTTCCTTCTGTTCCCAGATTGTTTAGTTTTATTTTTTTAATCCCTGAATGAGTTTTCCTATAGTTAAAATGATCATATATATCTTTTACTTTAAATCTCATCTGGTGTAATATGTTGACAGATTTTTTGATATTGAACCACCTTTGC